CGCTACTCATTTTCTTGTCTTTCCCCATTTTTTTTGAAACCAGCTCAGCTTTTGCTTCGTCTCCAACTCCAAGCTGTAGTCTGAGTTTGGTTCTCTTGTCTTCTTGCAGCAGAATAGTGCAGACTTTACGGCGCGCCGAGCTTCTCCTAGAGGAGCTCTTTTTTAGCATCGGCAGACTGTCTATTGTAGTTTAGCTGTGTCCTCAGTCCTATCTCGCCGTCGTCTCACGAGCGCGCGAATATCGAATACAGCTGCACCTATTTTCTTGTCGTTCTTATTATTTTTCTGGCGAACTCATTCATCTGATGCTTCCTTTTTGAAAGCTTCAGGTGGCTGAGTTCTCCCATTAGCGACAATCATGCCGTGGAAAAGAACGGGATATTCCTCTCGCAAGAGAAAGAACGCAAGCTGGTTTTCCAATGCGACCAACCCTGCGAAGAAACAAAAGCCAGATGACGACCTAGACTCTAACAGTGAAGAGCAGTACCAGGAAGAAGATCCCATCGAAGAGAGCGTAAGTGGTGTTGATTCTTTGTAGCAAGTGGGAAAGTGGCCAGGTTATGCACGAGTAGAGCCGGTACATGCCAGGTATAATAGTACATGTTAATGTTTCCAGTCTAATTAATTAATTCATAATACGATAATATTCAATTTGAAACTCGGGTATTGAGCCAATAATAAAAGTAGAAAGGAAAAGGACATAATTATCACTTTCTGACTGTATATAGTATCTAGTTACAGTGGTGGAGAGTTACTCTTAACTCGTTTCCATAATTATGTCCTTTTCCTTTCTACGATAATATTCAATTCCACATAATTTTGTCTGCACAGCCAAATATCAACCCGTCATTGGAAAACGCCCACGCCGAACATATCCATCCCCACGAACATGATGAAAGTATTACAGAAGCCGCTCCGCCAGTTTCAGAGGACAGTCCGCACCATGACCACCAGTTAGCCGCTGCCGCAGGTAATTATAACTACGGTAATAATTATTATTGTATTGAAAATGTAAACTGCTGGCGATTGGCTCAATAAGTATAGAGGAACAACCATCAAATGCGCGAGTAATTCTCATGGCACATGCACCATAACCCGCTTGCAATTACCGATATATCAGTTCATACATGCATATTATTACAATCTACATAATCATGGTACGTGGCACCGTCAAGAGTATCAACCAGTTACATGGTGGTACATCCACAAACAGCTAACGTTTGGATGTGCTGCTTGTGAACGTACGCTCATGCGTGTCTTGTTATGTGCAGACACAGAGAAGACACCGAAACAGCAGCCACAGCAAGTCACGATCTCAGCGGACACATACACAGCACTGATACAAAGTCGTCAGCATCTGCTAGAAGCAAACGCCAAGCTAGAAGCTAAAGCAAAGTCACTCGAAACAGCTGTCGCAGAACTACAGGCGGAATGCAAGCGGCAGACGGATCAGCTGCATGGAGCACACAGCCAAGCAACAAAATTAAAAAAAAACATTCAAAGACATGAAGGCATCAACAACAACCCATGGCACAGCTGTTCGGTCTGCTGTAGTGGTAGAAGATGGAGTGCGCAAGCACACGACTGGTTTTATGGCTGGTGTGAGGTTCATCAAACATGCTTGTATTCTGAGCAACCAGAAGGCTTCGCTTGCTCTCGACTTGTTTGGCAATCTGCTCATCAAAACAAACAGCGGGGACATGGGGTGGGAAGTCTCGCCGACAACGCTGAGCAGATGGAACGTGGTGCTTGGTGAGGTCGACCGGCTGAATTTATCGCACGTCTTGGCCACTGTCGACAGTGATGTATGTCTTTTTGCTGACGACTCCAATAAAGGCCATGACGAACGTCATATCATGGGTGTTCACGTCTGGTCGGCGCAGCAAAACAGGCCAGTTGGCTACATTCTGGCCAATACCGTCATTGCCAGCAGCAGAGGTAGCGACCAAGCGTCAGCCGACCACCACATCCTAACCTCAATGTTCGGTGTAAAGTCAGTGGCAACTGTCATGGGCGACAACGCAACAACGCAGTCCGGTGCAAAGAAAGGTCACGCCGTTGAGCTTGGCAAGCTTTTTGGAGGAAAAGTTACTTTCATCGGCTGCTACCCACATATTGTGAATATCGCGCTGAAGACGGCAATCGGCGATGGCTTTGGCGGCAGAGGTGGAATGAGTGATTTTAACTTGTACCAGCTACATTTTAAAGTTGCTTATGTCCACCACCAGCACCCATCATTTTACAGAGCCCTGTACACATCCGAGGGCATCTGTAAGAAGGCACCCAGTTTGCCCCAGGAGTTTGTGGAGAGCAGGTGGTCCTATATGTTTGAGCACCTGAGGTGGTGGTGGCAGCATGGAGACAGCTGCATCCAGATGGGCAAGGCAGTCCTCAAGTCTATGCCTAAGTCGAATTCTCACTACGGCATATGGCGGGAGATCATAGAAATGGCCGCAAGTCCTGTCCTTGCCACGGAGCGTTGCCTCCTATGGGAAGTGTTGCACGACTTGCTGATGCCCGCCTTGTCTTCTTGCCACAGCCAGGATGATGAGCTGAATTTCACCAGTAGCTACCTCGCTCGGATGTGGCCAACCCGGGTTCTGCAGGATATTCGCCAAGCGTCGTTCATGACCACCCATCCTCACTTCGCCCTGACCCAGACCATCCAGTCAGCGGCCAGGCTTGACGCATCATCCCAGCAGGTCTTCCACAACGAGATCCTGCCTGCATTCACTTCTGCGATAGCTGCAGCCTTGCAGAAGCATGCAACTCGGTGGCTATGTGTCCCGCTACTGCTGTGTATGGGAGCAAGCACCACACACCGCACTATGTTTTGGCGCGCATGGTTGCGGGCCACCGGACGCGAGGCACTGATCAATAGTGCCCCGCTGGCGATCGCAGTGGAGCACTCAGACCTCCTCGTCGAGGCAGCGAACTGCGGTGACATGGACGCTGTCGTGGACACGGCCATTGAACTGGAGCTGGTGGAGGCGGTTCATGTCTTAACGTGTGATCCCAGTGCTTCTTGGCTGGATGAGTACGTCGTACTGTCGCTCCTTGTGGATCAGCTGCAAGACATCAACACCTGGCGGAAACGTTGGGAAATGGATCGCCCAGAGCTACTGGTGGACATCGTGGAGGTGGCAATGATGTCAGGCCCATCGTGTCCAAGTGCGAGTTCACAGCAGTATCTGTGGAGTTGGTGTGCCAAGCACATCTTCTGCCTGCCCGTCAGCAACGCCATCGCTGAGCGCCAGTTCAATATCGGCTCCATCTACCTCTCCCATAATGAGTCGGAAGAGTCCAAGCAAGCGTCTCACCTGTTTGTGGAGAACGTCCTACACAGTGATAGAGATGGTGAGGAGAGGGTGACCTCCCATCACAAGGAGCAGATGCGGGAGAGGTTGGCTAGGTACACGTCCACAGTGACTCGTGAGAAAATAAAGCAAGCGCAGGGTAACCTTGCCTCCAGAAAAGCCTCCTCTTCCACTGCAGGAAGGACACTGACGACTGAGGAAGTCCATCGACAGGCTCTGCAGCGTCATCCAAGCCGACCTGCGCATGCAGAGGATGTTGCGACCCTCCAGGAGAGTGGCCGAAAACACAGCGTTATATTTATTCCCACCAGGAAGGGTGATGCTGCTTCCGCGCAGACAAAATCCATCGTCTCCGCCAGCACATCCACTGATGCTATCGAGGCTCCACCCGCTGCAACAGCCGAGGCTGAAGTCGAGGAAATCCAGTCCTAATGCTGTAAGTACTGATAATCTCACCAACTTTCTTCTTTCTTAATAATTCGAAGCCTCCTCGTCTGCCTTGACCTGTAGCTAGCTGTTCTCAACAATAATTATTTTTGAAGCTTTCTCGTTCGAGAGCTTCTCTACAATCATAGATTTCGTAGCTCTGAACACTGACCATCAAGGCCGGTCAGTGTTGGCATCCAGTCTGGTTCTACATGACTACCGCCGAGTACTGCCTACTACTGGTATGTACAGTCAGTGCAGTGGTGACAGTGTAGGTCGATCTACCAGTCTACTGCACTGCAAAAAGCACCTGCACGGCGCGTAGATGCATGTAGCTGTTGTTTGTTTGTTTTTGCCGAGAAAGAATCCCTTTGGTCCTTTTCGCACTCGCGCAGGCAGCGAGGGCGCAGCACGGAAACTGGTCTATTGAATTCATTTCTTGGTCGATTTTGACAACCAATACGTCGTTGTTTTTCTTTTTTCACTGGCTATCCTTTCTCCGCTTCCGAATTGCGATGCTGGCCACTTGGAAAGCCTTGAAGTGGCACGAGTGGAGGCCGATTTGGGAGGTAATTTCCGGCCAAACAGCCATCAAATCGAAAAATTCGAAGCGGACAATCTGTTGGTATCTATCGAATGAAGACGTTGGCCAATAAAAAATCTTTGGAAACTACACCGTATCAACCAAGGAATTACGGTAAGTTTGAGAATTTTGGTACGTTAGGTGTACGCTGATTGGTCAATGAGCGCGACCGTTGAGAAACGGGTCAGTGACGCTTTGTACAGCGTTGGTGAGGGCTGAACTTGTTACAACTCTGTACATGGGTTTTGGACAGCGGAATTCGTCGTTTGCACGCGTTTCAATGATTCATGGAAACGTACATGTAAGAGTAATCGGAAGGGCCTATCGTCCGGAGATAAGATAAGATTGTAAGAACGCCACGACGACAATAGACTTGAGGAGATTTTGTATTATCCCCGGCCGATACTTAGACTGTGTATTCAGGTATAGTGTGGTCAGTTGTGACCTTTATCAGTGCCCTTTTGGCGTTGTGCTGCACTTGGGGGTTTTCCCCTGCTAGCGGACCGGGCGCAAACCGTGCAGGTTGCATACTTCAGCCTCATCAAAGTAGCCGAATCCACAACACTACAATTATTAGCGTTATATTTCTGCAATCAGCTATTGCGATTGCACCCATTGAAGTTGAAATAATAAAACTACACAAATGCATTATCTACCATTCTGTAAAGGCTTACCATCATGTAGACTATGACATCAGTGTGTATATTCATCACTGCTTGGAGGATAACAGGTCTTTGAACACGGTGATGTGATGAGGATAATTGATCAGCAAATCCGGGATAACGTGGCTGCTTTTCTGAGAGTGCCGAGCGCCATATTTGAGTACCGCCTATCAGCGTAGAAAGAAATAGTGGAGTACGCCAAAATTTCAGCTCACTCAGGAGATGGAAGTCTCTATAGTTAATCCATCACTGAATGCCATTTTAAGAAGGGTGATACTATTGGTCTTACAACGAGACTTGGGCAACAGAATGTCACTCAAAACTTTCAGTATTATGTGTAATCTGATTTTCTCCAACATGCACTGTAGAATCAAGACAGGCATCTGATCATCAAAATCAAAACACTAGCACTGAAACTCACCGGAATAACATAACATCCTTGAGATTTCAGTGCCAATACTCGCAGAGTATTATATCCGTCAGGCGTACGTACAGGATGACGTAGTAACTGAGTGTCACTCACACCCAGACAGGCCACAACACTGAAACCATGACGCGTAGCTGCAGTCATATCTACTGATACACCATTGTATACATCAGCTGGATAAGCATCAGTCTCCACTGGTTCATGGTCTTGGTTGAATATGCATAATGCCTGAACTTTCACACCATCAACCAGAGATATGCCAGTGGTGTACTTTGGGCCAATGAAGTATGACAGCATATCATACATTCGACCTGAATGCTGACTTGTCACATCCTTCTGGAACCGCACTAAACACCTGTCCATTATCTGCAGCCGCTGGTCGTTAGTGACAGGGAGGGTGTTCTGCAAATATAGCAGTTGCAGATGGCGAGGCTCGCATTCTGCACAGAAGCCAGAGCAGAGAGAATTGAGAGAAACACACAGTGTTAGTGACACGGACAAAGAAATACATTTGAGAATGCGAAAATGAAAACGTTAAGAGAAAGATGACGTCTGAAGATGATCATTGGCTTGGCCTTAATTGATGTCCAGCGGCGGATCTAGAGTTCAGCCGAGGGGAGGGCGCGGGTAATATTCATGACAGGGAGCCCATGCGGTACATGTATTCTGTACACATTACGACATAGCGGCTATTTTACGTCATAGGCTTAGCGGTTATGTATATTTGCTATTTTAGCACATGCACTCACTAGCGCACTCCCACTTTTTCAACCACTTCATTGAGGACTCTGGCTGTAGTAGAACATAGCCAACTACATTGAATTGTGTAAAGATAGTGCTTCAAAGCTCAAGACATGCTGAGATCGAGAACAATGGCAAAATAATAAAATACACGATTACTTGGATGGCCATGTCCAGCAGTAAGAATGGAGTGGAAATACATTAGCAAGAAAACAATCGTAGTGTGAGCATTGGGTTCGGTTTCAGCGTTTATATACACAAGCATAATAATTATGTCTACAGCAAATATTGGCATGTAACGTGTTCTGTACGATCATGTGACACAAGTCAGAATGAACGAACAGCCAATCAAGCAACTTCCGGTGCAGTCGGGTCTTACAACAGGAAACGACGGGGTTTGGCTTTAGCGAACCTGTCCAGCACCCGCTCATGGTCGATCGGAATGGCCTTGTGAACATTCCGGTTCCCAAGCATGTTGCGCTTTTCTGCATCGCTGAGAGTTGCACCGCCAATAGCTGCATCAACAGCATCCGAGTAACTTCGCTGCGTAGCAGTGCCACCAGCCACATTCGTGGCAGTCACAACGTCGTCATCTGCGATAGTTTCAACAGGTAAACGCTCCTGACTCGCATCACTACTACTGACAGTCCCACCATCGTCGTCAGAATCTACTTCGGATTCCATTTGGGGAAGATCAGAGTCTGAGCAGACCTCGATCTCGGGATCTTCGCGGTGGTCCGAATTCTCCTCCAAAGACGGATCGCTCGACTGAGCAGCTGACAAAGCGCAAGTTCGCTTCGCGAAAAATCCGTGGAGAGTTTGTTGGCTCCGTAGCCGCTTGGGCGGGCGGTGCGCCATCCCCTTCACCAAATTAGCTATACAAGTTCGTCAACTGAACACTAATTTCAAAACTAAAAGTCAACCAAAGTCTAGTAAGAGAACAACTACTCCGTATTCAGAAGAACTTTCTTATCTGACACTAGAAACTACTTGTCACAGCATATGCAAACACTTGCGAAACTGCCCATGTGCATGCACTAAAAAATCTAAATGTTTGAGGGGAGGGCGCGCGCCCACCGCGCCGTCCCCTAGATCCGCCACTGATGTCTGTGGTGCTTCCTTTGCCATAGGCGGGAGCTTGGCCTACTTGAAGCTGGTCTATATGGCCGAACCAGCTTGTTGTCTACAGCATTGAGTATTATGCTCCTTGATGTTTGTCTTGTTGAGCACTCTCGGTAGGCTGCTCTAGTGCTGCTGCATTACACATTGCCCGCTTCCTTTAGTATTTAGAGCACTCTGGTGCAAGAGCGACGAGCTATCTTTCATTAAAATGTCTGCGATGTGACCTTTGCACCATGGCCGGTAGCTCGGCTTACTTAAAGCTCGCAGCTGTAATGATGAGGAATATGATAATGTGGCCGAAATAGCTTGCTGTCTACAGCATTGGGCAATAATTATTATTATACGCGCGTCCGCATTTACGATATTCGTATGTGCCAAGAGACAGACAGAACGGGCAGAGAAGAAAAGAAAAAAATGCAAGATAGCAGACAACGGTGATTGGCACGTAACTCAAGTTCCATGAAAAAACCATTACTGTAAGACATGGTTTTATAACGATTCACAAATTTAACGATTGTCCAAAATCCATAGGTTAACGAGAAGATACCTTAACGATCTTGCGGTCTTCAGGCATATCCCCGCATAGCACATAATTATGATGCCTTAGTCTCAACAGAACTTACTAAAACGAAGTAATGTAATTCGTTAAATCGTTAGATTTACTGAGTATTATATGAAATCATGCCTGCATCAGCAGAACACACGGTGACAGAAGCCTCACCAGCAAACCTAGGCCTCTATTCACTACAAGTCTTATTCCAGAATAAACTACTTACTTTGTATCAGATGATCAACACTGATCAGCTTCATCAAGGCACTGCACTCTACACCAGACAGCGTACAGTAGAGAAGTAGTCCGAGTACTTCAGTATGACGATGCTTGGGATCACCTGACCTGTGTATGGTCAAATAGCGATTCATCACGTTTTGGGCCAGGCAACGGTCGGGTGAATTTAACATGAACAGTGCGTGAGACCACTGATCAACTTCTCTACATTGATCAAGACGCAGGACATCTAGTTGCTGTGCTAATAACTTCCTGAATTCTGGAGTCATGCATTGACACTTTGCAGCCCAGTGCACTGACCATCTGAGTTTGGGTTGATGCCTGTAGTCTTGCCAGACACCAGTAGGTAGGGTGGCTAGTTGATTTAGTGAAGATACTGCCAATGTGGTTACGTCAGTGTTCTCCTCTGTGATAAGAGCACATGCGTGCAGGATAGCCTTGATCTTGCTTGGGTACCGTAGTTCATTCGCATGTCGTTGGATAAGAGAACATTGGGAGATCAGCTCACTAGGTTGAAACGTGCGCTTAGTCACGATGCTGTCAAATATTGACTCAACGGCATCATAGGCATCACGTACTGTAGTGGGTTGACGACCAGGCTGATCTGATCTCCACCTACTACTGACTGACTGCCTGGACTGTGGTGATGTCTGAGTCATCTTGCTAGCAACACAACATAGCGTTGATCGGCAGGTTGACTGGGCTACCATGCTTTGTACTTGTACACTCACAGCATAACCACGCTGAGCAAACTTGCTCAATGTCTTGCTGAGATTGCCATATAACTTTGAAGCAAACATGTTCTCCTGGGGATGCTGTTTATTCAGTAGCACATGTGTGTGTGTAGCGTACAGCGTATGGAGTGGATTACTGAGGAATTGTCTGAAGATTTCGTACTGCCGGTCTGTAGAGAGTAACACACAACGCAACACACACACACACACACACACACACACACACACACAAACAGACAACACATCAGATATACATGCAATATCTACAGTCGTGCTGGATAAAATTCTGGATCATGAATAATACATTTCCATACAGCAGTGCACAACACAATTATATACTGCCACGTCATCGCCGCACACAAGCAGCCCAAGCACAGCACCATCCCCACCAGCTCGAGCTGAATCTCTCGCCATGAGCTCCTGATTACCATCTCCGCTCTTTCCCATACTGCATCGTGCCAGTGTGGAATAGACTGCCACAGGCAATTCTGGACAAGCAGCCAGCCCGGAAACACCTGCAGAGCTTCAAGATTGCTGCATATCGTCACCTGCAACAAAGTGACTGGTGCTCTGCTCATGACTGGTGCTAGCCATGCACATGTATCACACTGGCCTGCCACCAGTGGACGCAAATCATTACGTTGACTCTCTTCTAAAAGTAGCATAATAGTCATAACGACGATATGCCGCAGAACTCTTTCTCTCTCTATACTTATATCTCTCCACCTCTTCCTCTCTCTTTCCCTCACTTACCCATCTCTCTCTTTCTCTCTTTCTCTCTCTCTCTCTCTATCTCTCTCTCTCTCTCTCTCTCTCTCTCTCTCTCTCTCTCTCTCTCTCTCTCTCTCTCTCTCTTCTTTCTTGTGCACTCTCTCTCCTCTCTCTCTCTCTCCCTCCCTCCATCTCTCTCTCTCTCTCTCTCTCTCTCTCTCTCTCTCTCTCTCTCTCTCTCTCTCTCTCTCTCTCTCTCTCTCTCTCTCTCTCTCTCTCTCTCTCTCTCTCTCTCTCTCTCTCTCTCTCTCTCTCTCTCTCTCTCTCTCTCTCTCTCTCTCCGCCATTTCTCTCGCCCCCCCCCCTCTCCCATGGTGCTTGCTGTGTACGCCGATCCCGAGACCCTTGGTCGGGGGAGTCCACTGCATCTCACCAGCGCAGCTCATGTAGCGCCTACACACCCATTGTTGTCTTTTTGTTTCGTCTTCGTTTTGTCTCCCCTTCTTCCGTAGGTATGCGCAATGTGATAAAAAAAATACATAAAAAAAATATAAAAATTTTGGAAGGTCTACGTACTGTCCAGTACTAGCTGACTTCAATTAATTAATTAAAATTTCACGGTTCGTGAGACTCGGCCAAAGGCCCAGTTTTCCGCATCCGCAGGAACGCCACCACCCTCTTGGATCAAGGCGCAGATGCAGCTCCTAAGCGGTGGGAGGTGAGTAGATCAGACCCACCACAAAGTGGTCAAAGACCGAAATCCCATTAACTGCATCCATGTTTCCCTCGTGCCAGGCCACGAGTTCCCAACTAACTGTGGGTCGCAGCACGGCTGGAAAAAATCCTTCCGCTTCCAAGCAGGACTTGAACCTGGTACCCTCTGTTTCTCAATCATGGTCTTAGACCATCCCACTATGCCTGCCTGCATTTCTTTCTTCTTCTTCAACATGAACCAGATTTCATTGACCAACACTTACTGCCTCAATCATTTCAACCATGAAGCCACGGACATGACTCGCAAACCTAATTCTTTGGTGCTATAAGCAAAATGCAAATATCTGTATTATCGCTACATGGTATATTAGGTTCGACTTGGAAACAAACATGCCAAACACTTTGGAATTCCCTGACAATCTGGCCTAACAAAGGATGGATAGATGAGTCCCCTACGCTACAGTGCTGCTCAATGAAATCCAGTCGCGTCACTTAAGTTTGGGCCTTGCATCATTTCGTAGCCCAGTGTTCGCAGGTCTAGGGCTGCGCAACGCCCAGCACGTACTTGAGAAACTCGCTGACTGGATTTCAATGAGCAACACTGTACAGTCATGTACATGTACCCGTTCTGTCCTAGTTTTAGGACTTGTCAAACCTCTCGCCTTTTTCTCGTCGGCTGAATAGTCGGACAGTGTGCCCAGTTTATGCATGTCTGATACAACACAGTATGGCATTGCCTCATTGAAATCCGGAAAACACTCGCTCGAACGCGATCAGCCCAGCAGCCAACAATTGCTTCCTCAACATACATCATCTTTTTTGCACATACATGTACATCATTCTCTTACCTAAGTAAGTTATGATAGGCACTGAATTTCGCAGACTACTGCCGTGTACCACAGCAAAACTGTTGCGATTGTAACAAACTGTTATGCACGCATATAGCCAGCAATTTCTCAGCGATCTACGCCAGGATCAGGGAATATTGTACAACTGTCAACTGATGATATAAACAAGAGAACGCGACTAAGTCCTTAGCATAACAACACGCTAGCTGGTAGATTTACAATGATTATGGAGGCAAAATCCAGGTGCTACAGCTGTACATGATTCCTCTTGACCTTGTTGCTTCTTGTTTTTTTTGTCATTGTTTTTTAGAGCAAAATATTATTGATTTTGCAAAAAGACTTTTTGATGCGTCATCGCATTTTTAGTCACTTTTACTGAGCGCCATAATCATACTCAGATCATTCATAGCGTCATACTGGACTACACTAGAGTCATAGTCATCACGTGTCATTTTGCACACCATGAATGATTATGTAGCAGGCCTTGCAGGTAATTGTTGCTTTTTTTAAATACTACTACAGTGCTGGCAACTGAAATCTGACCCTCCTAGCGGTGCGCTAGCCGCGTTAGCGATTCCTACGAGACGCTAGGGGGGGGGGGGGGGGTCGGATTTCAGTTGCCAGCACTGTGGCTCCACAGCCATGCAACGGTTCAAGTCTCACGTAGCGCTGACCATCACTGAATACAAGCTGAAGGATTTCATCATCGTTGAACGTTGAATGTCTCAATACCAGTTTGTGTTTCAACTGATAATATGGTGGCCAATACACACCCTTTGAAATGGCACAGGCAGTAAGTGCACGCATACTGCTTTCGTGGGAACTCAGTGCTAGGAGATAGCCATCACTCTTGAGTCTGACGTGAAGTCTATGAACCCATCGAATTTTTGAGCACATTCAAGGAAATTCCCATGCAGCAAATTGCCAATGCGAACGACACGGGCCACTGAATCTTTCATCATGATACATGTATATGACGTTCTGGGAGAATATATGCCATAAAGAGCTTGGCATATGCAGCATGTCATTGTGCAAGTACCAAAGCTGAAAAGGGGCAAATTCTATGCGCAAGAAGGCAATCAAGGTCATGAAAACGAATTATTTCCTCAAGGTTTAGATCCAGCAGTACATGCAGCACAATCATTTGGATTTGAAATTCAAAATTTGAAGCATTGAAACATTGGAGCTGAAAGCCCAAGTGGTGATTCAGATCGATAAAGTAAACTTTTAGTGTAAGGGAATTCGAGTATGAAGCAGAAACAGCAACGTGAAAATGGGTGAGTATGAAGCTGCACATCATGCTATTACAGCGGTGAGCTATCTTCAGTGGACTGGGTATTACCCATTCCAGATCGACATCAAATTTGTATTTTACTAACATCAAGTTCCAATTGTTATGTTGCTATTGCGCTGGTCGCCATCTCATTGAAGATCAGTGGCCTGTAGTCCAGTTTCTGCCGATACAGGAACAAGGAAACAAATGAACACCAGATATTATAATCACAATGGGATGAGCATATACACTGGAGTACCCGTACTCTTGTTTCCCAGTTGTTTGCAGAGTCACAATGATTTCGCGGCAGAACGTCTACAGAGCCAAGATAATTTTAAATAATATTACAGCTGAGACTTTCTTTTGAGACTTATCCTCAAAACATATGCACATCATCATTACATCACTAGTTTAGTCGAAACACCCAACTGTTAGGATAGCGTCAGGCGAAATAGCACGTCATAGTACATTGGAGATCAGCGGGAAGAAGATGACGACGTCCACTAATTTAGTGTCTGTGCACACGAATCTGCTGTGTGTGTGACTCTGTGTGTCAGCTATGATATCATCTTCTGTGGTTCCATGCCTAGCATGTACGTCTGAACCATCCTGCAAAGTTTGAATGACGTAGGTTGAGCGATCGCTCCGCGAAACATACTTTTTGAAATTCTCTTCATAGTATATCTTCCACCATTGAAATTTCGAATTTCTTCAAAAAAAGTGCTGAGAGGGGTGGCTTGCAACCTCGATATGGCTTGTTCCAGGCATGCTTTGGAGCCATCTTCTGTTGAAGTAGTGGCGGGGATCTGCCCTGCAACTGCTACAACAAAAAATGATTCGATCTGAGAAAAGGTGAGACCGCGAATCTCGGTTGAATATTGAGTATTTCAAGCCTTTTCACGACGAAGATGGAGTTCTTTTTGGAGATGGACATCGCGGCAAAGGACCGTGGTGTCCGACTTCTGGCGTCTGGTGAAGCCAGGGATCATTTGTCCAGTCAGGTCGGCAGCCTAACCGTCGGTAAGCTTGGGTTTGGATCCCGTTCTGCTCGATGTGGTAGATCACAAACAATTTGATATCGCACAAATTGATCTCAGCATCGTGCGTACGGTATTTTATATTCAGAAAATCCCAAAGTGTCTCTGTGTGGCCGTCCTATGCCACGAGAAACTCCAATCAGGCCCCTATGTCCTCTACCTTCATGATTGAATGTCCACTTCGTTTGAACAACGAACACAACAATCGAGGACGGCTTTGCAATGAAAAATACAGCTATACTGGAGCTGAAAAAAAAGAAGAAAAAAACGTGCTCAGGATGAGACTCGAGTACACGCATACTCTCCCAGCAGGTGAAACGCAAATTTTTGTGAAAAATGCGTGTCGCCGACTGACCAGTAATTTCGCCTGACGGGAATGCGTGTGCAGTTCCGTATTTGAACCATTACCCATTACTGTACGCTCTTGCTCTACCGACTGAGTAAAAGCTGAGTTAACGTGACAACCACATGTGCTCTCCAGCCGACCTCGTACGTGTGGTAAACAGGTCGACCTCAGAGCACATGTATTGGGGAGTTGAGCTAAGCTGATGATGAGTTGGCCGAAATCTGCTGCATATCCTTATGACCATCATGACTACTTCAACCCAAGACATTTGTAATATGTAGTTCCCACCAAGGTCTGTGCCATGCAATCCAATTCTCCAGTGTTACATACCTTCTTCGGCAAGACACTAAGAACTTCGGTGATGCGCACGAGGATGCCACGGTTCTGGGCGCACTTGAAGTAGCGCTTGCCCTTCACCACTCCGTCATTGTCTCCATCTGCAGGCAGTCAAAGACGCACGCACGGGAAGAACAAAAAGATCGTGTAAGTTAAGTTCTGACGACTTGAGTAGTATTTCCTCCAGAGACAAAACTTCATGACTTTCTTATTCACATCCTAAGGAGTTATTGTGCTCAGGAAATTTTTTCAGGAACAAACAGTTAGATACAGGGAGTGTATATTCTTATTTGACGCGTGCACTATTATACAAAAATGGCGATAGTCGAGTTTCACTCAGAACCACTATTACTCGACTCCTCAGAGCTCAATTCAACAGTACTGGCAGGGTGATCGAAGTCACGAAGGTTTCATGTCCACAGGAAAGTCCATACACTAGGCCTAATGCACTGGTTCCATGCACTGGACAGATTATACAAGACACAGGAGCGGCAACATTGTAGGTCAACAGTTGTAAACGAATTCATCTACAAAGTAAACTGACCACGCTGTGCTATTGCGGCTTGCTACCTCTAGCACGTTTATGGCGTACTAGCAGATCAAGAATCCGTGGGTTATAAGATATGAATCTCTCAGGTAAGGAGCATGCCAAGAAATGATAAGAAGCTTACGGTTATAGCATCAATGATTTCATGGCTAACACAATCATAATGATGTCAGCATACTACCTGTGAGACTGTGATGATTACATTGGTACAAAAGATGATGTCATCATCATCCCGGCTTACCTGCGGTGTCCAGTTGCACGCCAACATAGATACGATTGTCTACATATTCACTGTCAACACGACCAACGTAGCGCACTATGCCCGATGACTTGCTGGATTCTGATTCCCAAGCTGTGCAACAAGGAATACAATGTACAAAGATAATTTACCACAGTCATGTCAAACTGATGGCGTAATTGCACCTCAAACTGATGACGTAATTGCATTTCAAACTGATGACGTAAGTGCCTAACCTCTATAGCAACAAGACATACAGTAGCTGTAGGTGAGAACGGGCAACTTGGCTACATAAAGTGAGCCAAGATTTGGCAAGCTCCAAATCCAAATCATGTGTACTTGGTGCCTTGTTGACCTAGATGTAAACACTGTGCAGCATGAAAATATAACTATCAAAAGCCTACAGAGCACTACAAACTCTTTCACTTACGCATTCTTTTCCGTCGCACCAAGACCCTGTCACCTATCTTGATCTGCTTTTCCGCTACAGAATCGGCGGCGGCCTCGTCGTCCTCGGGAAGTGCATAGCTGATAGGTATGGACGCCAGCGTTCTGCCGGGTTCTAGGTTAGCCGGGAACATGGGCCCGGTGAACTTTGCGTCACCCACATGCTGCCTGGCTTTGACGTCGGCCGGCGTAACTGGTGCAAAATGCTTTGGCGGTGCGCGGGTGTTGGGCCTGCGAGATACTCGGCTGACTGGTGGCAGTTTGGACGGGCTCTGCATGAGGTAATGCCAGAGAACAACGGAGAACAGGTTACAAGCAACAGTCAGTCTGAGTCCACCAGTGAAATCAGATGATACATTGTTAGGAATGTTGTGTTTTGGCCTGACAGTGCAGAGAGAGACAATGCGGCGGCAAACACTATGCACTACAAGTACGACCAACAACGGGGTACAAAACTGACAGAGGGAATGAGACACCTAACTCAAAGACATCACCGGCATGTAAACCCACAGTTGGTAAGACAACCGTCCGTAGGGTAAACAGTGTAAATTGCAGTGAAGTTTCAATAACACACAGTAGTAGCACAAATTTCAGGCTCTTCAACAACATGATTTTCACAAGTAAACTTTCGTGCCTTCCCTTCAGGTGAAATACAGTAAAACCTTTAACTTAAGACCACCGTGACTAGCAACCAGCCTGGTACTACAGACCACTTCGCAAGGCTCGGAAGGTCTCACATTCATATATGGTTATGCGGTGCAAACTTCTAACTAAGGAGCACCTGCAACTAAAGACCGCTTTCTCTGGCCCCAAGGGGTGGTCGTTACTTACAGGTTTTGCTTTACAGGCAAGAGCAAGTTTCAATATCTACTATTTGGTTGCAGCAACAAAACGTTCTGCATTTGTACTCACTCTCATGCTCTGCATTGTGCCACCGCGTGTTTGCAACCCCCTGGTGGCTGTACTGGATACGGTTGCTGCAGTTCGGGGACCTTGAGCAGGGTAGTCAAACGTGTTGGCGTAGTCCTCTTCATCAAAATCGTCGGAGACTGGCACCAGTGCTGGGCAGCTCAGAGGTCTGTGTGAAATCGATAACAAGAGAAATCAGTGTCACCCCCAGACTATTCACATTCTTTACAGGAGCAGGTCATACAGTCATGCCCACAAGCCCGGTGTAGAAACTATACATGTACATGCACCGGACATGAGAGGCCAGAACTACCAAACACAACATGATGAGACGGTAATTATTAAAAAATCTCCAGTGTTCTGATTCATGAACAAAACTCTGAATAAACTCAATCTCATTCGTCTGAAAGGTTTGCTCCCTACACCGGAGCTTGCAACCACTATTTCGTACTCATTCGTCTGAGTTGCTTTTTCCCGGTTTGTATATAGCTAGTAACCAGGTTAGACAATGGCACAAATGTTATTCAAAAGTCAAACAGAACAATTCCAGAGCTGTGTGAAGTACACACTGTACAAATAGACCAGCAGTGCTCACGGCTGCAAGACCAGCGCCCTGTGGCCGCTTGACTTCTGAACGGCTTTCAATGTCCACTATAGTATCTTAGCCTACCTGTCTGTAGCTCCTCATCACTCACAGACTGACCATACCAGTACAGAGTAGTGGATTCCAAATACAACACTACCTAGCATACCTGTCCGTGGCTAGACCTTCGTCATCACTCACAGACTGACAATTATAGTATAGTGTAGTAGATCTCGAATACAATACTGTCTACTAGTAACTTACCTATCTGTAGCTAGTCCCTCGTCATCACCCACAGACTGAGATCTCATATGACCAGCAGCAGTGGTCTTGCTACGAGAGTCCTGCTGCAGTCGAGCCGTCTTCTCTAGCACACTAGCCAGGACCTGAGCACGACGGCTGTCCTTCTCCTCCATCTCCTTCATGCGCTGCTTGACGGCATCGAGCTCGCGTTCACGCTGCAGCACCAGTGCCGTCTTGCCGCCGACAAACTGTCGCAGGGTGTGCACCTCACAGCGTGCCGCGTGCAGCTTATCCCTCAGCTCTGATACGATGTTCAGGCCCTGCTCCAGCTCCTATAGTCACAAGCCACGGACATTGGAGAGTACCCATTAGTCAGTAAAAAAAAAGCAAGATTATCCGTTAATTTTTCCCAAGGGCGAGAACATTTCATAGTCAATGCCATCAGCACCAGAACACTCAGCACACACGCTCTAATGAATGTTACAAGTCACGGGGTTTAAAACCCCACTTGAAATATCTCAGGCTTATCTTTCAAGATGTAATAACATGGCTTCCACACAAGATTTTCTTATTCTTGCAGTTCACTGATCTCTCTCTCTGTCTCTCTTACCGTGTTTTTGTCCTTGACATTCCGCAGATTCTTCCTGGTCACAGTGAGTGCCGTGGCCTTCTCGTCCAAATGCTTCTGCGTCTGGATGAGCACGGTCTCGGTTTTCTGCAGCTCGCCTTCCATCACTGGCATCTGAAGCAGCTCCTATACCCAGCAGCAATGGAAGTTGGAAAAACAAGGCCCTGTTACATGATGCACATCTAACTGTTCAAAAATCTGGTTCAGTTGGTGGACTCTAATGCATAACTTGTACCCCCACTGTCTTCCCTGTTAGGCAGAGTACAACATTTGTTGGGTTTTTGTATCAACATGTGGGTACCCAGTACATGACAGAAGTTATAGAGACCATTCATGTCAATCTCTGCCTTCCTCTGACCCCCTCCCCCTCCCCCCCCCCCCCCTCACCCTCACAATGTTCCCCATGTCGAGTGGATATAGTAACAATAGCAATGGCAATGTGTCATAATATATGCGTCTTTACCTCTTCCAACTGGCGGTTTCTGGTTTCTTCTTGTTCCAGGCGTTCAGACAAGTCCTCGATAGTTGCGTGTTGATCCTGAACAACTGTTGTCTTGCTCTGTGCCATGGGAGGGAGACATACAGCATGCAATGGTCACCAAATAATCAGGTCGATTTTCCGCCTTCCGGTTTTCTGGTTTCATGTGTTCGATTGGCCTACAATGCGTTTCTGTCATTTGTGTTTACAATGAGTGCAGGAAGGTACATTGGAAATGCAACTATAATCACGGATAATAGATAAAATATAGCCGTGAAGAAGCAAACAGTGCACAAAGACTCTCATTTGCTTTATAGAAAATGCTGTCTCAACGTAGTGCACTATGGACATGTCTCAGGTATCCACAATGACATATCGACCCACGCCAACTTACTCGCAATTCCACAGTCAGCTTGGCTATTTGTTCCTGAAGGCTTGCAACTTTGGCATCACGGTCATTGATTGTTGTCGCTCTTTCCGAGCTTTCAGCTCTGCACATAGAGGAACATGAGACACCAGCTTTGGGTAACATTTTTCTGGTACATAGAAAGTAGTGATATGAAGTCAAGCAGCAGCTTGACCAGAGAGCGTATGTAGTGGAGGTGGAATCGCTTTATTATTACAATTATAGAAAGTTCTGGAACAATTTATTCGTTGCTATTAATTATAGTTATAGTTAAATAGTGGTTGCGAATTCGGCGATAATTTTTTATAGGAATGGGTTTGCTCCCACACTTGAGCTTGCGCTATTCCACCGGCTTGACTTGACACTTGACTTACTCACGACTGCCATTCAGAGCACATGAGAAGTCCATCGAACCTTCGATATAGTTTTATTCGTTGCAATATTAAGATTATTGTCTCCACGTAGCCTTTGTAAATCTTATAGAAAGTAGTGAAGTCACTTAACTTATCACCTTCGTAAGCTCAGATCCAACACATGGCCATTTCGTAGATCATCCACTTCTTGTAGTATTATCTTCTACAGTTCATTTTCAGTGGAAACAACTTCTAAGAAAGTATGAAGGGTTGCTAGCCAGCCATAGCAAACGAAGACACGAGGAGAGACAAGGGGAGAGACAAGGGGAGAGAGGAGGTGACCTGATGATCAAGACACTAACCTGCTCTCATCAAGACTGTCGTGTGTTGTCTGTAGCTCCGATTTTATAGTTTCCATTTGCGAGACTGAACACACACACACAGGAAAGGGGAATGGCAGAATTTAAGACACTACACTAATGAAGGAGCACTGTTGGCATATTTCTACCTGTACCTGCTCCAAAGCCAGATTAGCAGGCTCAGTGGCCAAGTTGATAGGGTGTGTGGACTGGGCTGACCAATTGGGTTCTTTCGCCGGTCCTTGAGGACCATCTACTTGTCTAGACTAATCCCGATCAAGTTGGATGTGCCGGCTCAGAAGTTAGTAACAAGTACAGATGTACCCAGTCGACTCATACTCCTGGAGTAGGCTATGAATACTTACTTTCAAGTAAAAAAATCAAAATATACCAATGGGAAGGCAAAGCAGCACAGAGAAATGTATACCATCTGACAACATACTTGTTATCTACGGCCGCTGTGTGGCAAGTTGAAGCTTCAACTTTCTTGATGCTCGGAGACGGGGGAATTCACACTGATGAAAGGGAGGTTATATTGGACAAATGCACCCTTGCCCTACACACTTACGTGTGTGGCTCTGTGATTAGATTGCAAGTAGAGATCCTGAAGCATGTGTAAGGGAATCATGCAGTGGTCTGTTGGTCTAGGGGTATGATTCTCGCTTAGGGTGCGAGAGGTCCCGGGTTCAAATCCCGGACAGACCCAACTTTTTGTTTCCTTTTTCAAATAATATCATCTTTTTTCAAGGATCAGAGTTCTGGTCAAAACTACATGTATTATATAATCAGGAGCTGATCTGTTGGTCCAGGGTTATGATTATTGCCAAGGTCATAATAGCACGACAAAGACATGAGAGTGTGAGAGGTCCCGGGTTCAAATCCCAGACCGACTCGACTACATTATCTCAGGTCGTGTTGAAAACACGGACTATCGTGTCACCAGAGACAAAAAAGACTGTTTGATTTGGGCTATGAACAAACTCTAAATTGTGATACATGCTTGTCTTACCTTCTTCTTCTAGTTCAGTTATCCTGGCTTGGCACTCATCAATGGTCTTCTCCTTGCTCTCAATGACTTCTTCATTCTCATTTAGCTTTAAACAAGAACATGGAAACATGATGTTCATGCTGCTTTGAAGAAACAATTTCATATCAGAAGAAATGGATTAAAATATTGCGATAGAACTTTCGGCCATACGCCACTCCATACTCCACACGAAAGTGTCTTTGCTGTGCTGGTGTATTTATCCTTTGTGCATTGGTTCGGCTAAGAGCGCATGGTGGTGACGGGTTGAGGATGTAATAAAGATGAAATGGACAGAGAGCATCAGGTGAAATACATCACTTTCAGGTGCTTGAGTAAAACAGAGCACAAGTTGGAAAGAAATGCATGTGGTGTTTTGCCAAGATTCTCACATCATCTACACAATACAAGATACAGTACACAGACAGCAATCACGGACACAACGAAATCCTTTTCAGCCATTAATCAGAGTTTCGTGTCCAGAAAAGCACATTAGACAGCCTGATGATACCAGACACTTGTACCAGATACTATCCCGTGAAAGAGGTGGAAAATGGCTGAACTATAGAACATCTGACCTTTTCATTTGCTTCGTCCAGACGTTTGCCAGTCTCCTCTAGGTGCGAACGGGCAATTTCTGCCTCCTGTGCCACCTCTTGCAGCTGGTATTCCACTTCCTGGAAACACATGCACACACGGATGCATACACAGGCACACACACAAACATGCGCACACACACGCACACACAGACACACACACACACACACACACACACACACACACACACACATACAGACACACACGTACAAACACAGATAATTCGGGCAATGCCAACGGACATGTGACAAGATCCTTGATAATTGTGAGAAGTACAGTAGACAATACAGCCACTCCATGCTCTTGACTTGCTCTGGGAGTAAGATGTTGAGCCGAAATTCGCCAGTACATTGTAATGGTAAAAAAGTTGATTTTTCCAATGTCACGTGTCAAGTCATTCGGCAGGAGAAGTGCAGGTTCCAACCAGGAGCGTCAGAATGTATTTTTTGGTAGTACGGTCAGCTATCTGCAGAATAGTGTACATGTACTCAAGGGGTGAATCAATCGCAAAACCAAATAAATAGAGCCCAAATCAGAACCCAAATTGGTGCATACTATTTTAGTCATTCACGTGAACCTGTGGCAAAGAGCAGAATGGTCAATCATGTAGTGACTGTAGTGTGTCCAATGCCCATTTCCAACGTTAAAAAATGTACATATTCTGGGAGCCAATGATACCGTAAGAAGACGGCAATTGGCCAAAAAAAGAGATTTACCTAATGGTAACATTATTACAGTCATTCTGTTTCGGAGATAGCAGAATATGAACATAATCACAGCATGTTGTTTCTACTTTACCCGCAAAAAAAGTTGGGTCTGTCCGGGATTTGAACCCGGGACCTCTCGCACCCTAAGCGAGAATCATACCCCTAGACCAACAGACCAGCTGACAGCAAGCCTGTTCAAATTAGGATCTGAAGACTTGGAGATGGTATGGTATTGATTTTTTTTGGTATTGATTTATTTGAATTCGGTATCTCAACAGTACATTGTACAACTTGGGAAGATCCGAATGACATAGATACATAAACATAAAAGAGATATGAAAGCTGAGAAACAACTGGGTCTGTCCGTGATTAGGACCCACGACCTCTCGCAGCGAGAATTTTCGTGAAGTGTTATGCATGGTGGACCGATGTACAAAATCGCATAGGTGTGTACCTGACCAGTTGAGTGTTCATTGTGTGCTATACTCGTGCATGCACATTTGATCAATTTGCCCCAATAACCCATGGCAGACAGGCGCCTTTCCAGCTTCATCACTCCGGGATACCCCTGAACTAACAGACCACATTATGTCATGGGAAAAATTTGATCTGAAGATTTTGCAAGATGGAAGGTGAAAAAAAAGTTGGGTCTGTCCGGGATTTGAACCCGGGACCTCTCGCACCCTAAGCGAGAATCATACCCCTAGACCAACAGACCAGCTGATGAAAGACCTTGAATAATAACATACATAATGGAAACCTACAGCTGTCAGTTCCCTGACATGTCCTGGACAACCACTAACTCCTATAGCTGTTATGATAAAAATATTAAATTAGCGTGTCCATTCCCGAAGGGAACTCACCACGGCCGCTAACATCTAGGAAACCCAGTGGCAACTGGGGCGCCTAACCCCTACAAACTGATGCAATAAATCAACACCCTTTCAGTTTGTTGAATATCCTTACCTCACGTTGCTCTCGCTCGGCCTGCAGCTCATACTGAACACCTTCCAAGTCGGACAGGGCCTGCTCCACGAACAACATGTTCTGTTGCCTAACAGCACCGGAAAGCACAGAAATGGATCAGGTCCCACGTGAGTATCAACACGTTATGCCTAAGCATTTCCCACCAACGTGCCCAGCGATACAGTACACATTCAGTTTTGTGAAGGCCTTGGCAAAGCAGAAAGGCATGATGAAAGGTATGATGAAAGGCATGATCGGAAAGGTATGATGAAAGGCATGATGAGCTGGATTGTGAGGAATAGAATCAGTTTACGCTTGTATCTGTATGTATTTCAATATTCGGATTCGCAAGTACACATGGGCTGCAACTGCAATAACCTGGAATAGAATGGCTTGATTGCTCTAGAGCACTTTGGCTCCCTCCAGACATACAGTCAACTTCGCTTATAACGACACTCGGCGGGGCATCAGAGAAGTATCCTTGTTCGCGAAGTGTCGTTATACCCAAAGTCTCATTCTACGTATAACAGTTGGATGGGACTTTGCTCTGGGCATTGAAATTCTGTCGTTATTCGCGAATTGTCGTTATATCCGCAGTCGTTATTAGCGAAGTTGACTGTAGCTACATAGCGGAAAACGCGGACCACGTCATCACCACTACTTACCTAGCTTCTTCCTCAGCTCTGGCCTGTGTGTAAACCTCCGCTGGGGGCTGACGACTTGACTGACCCGTTCTCTTGTTGAACCAAAACAGGCCTGCCTTTTTGCTGCTCAACCGACACCAGTCTCCCTACAGAAGAGCAACAACCGCCGCCGACGACGGACATAATTATTGTTTAGGAACACAATGATATTAACGTGATAGCAAATACATCATTGACCAAATGGTAAACTGTGATTCAGGATTTCTGCCTTATGTTTCCGAGGACTTATAAGGAGACCGATGATGAGTAAATGTATAGCTATATTGTGCTCTGTCTAAAACAAAGGAAACAGTGTGCTTCTGCTAAGGGACACCTCCTCTGACTACAATGCTAGAAAAGATATGTCACACAAGCTTGCTGACTGAGGGGCTAAGATCTCACCGGTGATGGATCCCGGCGTTGATACAGGGCCATGATGAGAGTTTTGGCGAGCGGCACAAACTCCTCAAATGTGATCTTGCCATCTTGGTTACTGCACAGCGAGACACAGATAACAAGGAAATTCTAGCTATCAACATTGTAGTCTTGGAAATTTACCAGGAAATTGTGTAGCCTCTGCTTTTCTCCATACGTGCACTTGGTGGGGATTTGCACGGTTCACAGTAAGACCAACACAGGGATACTCACCAACATAGGCACAGACACACACACAAGTACAAGCCAATACAAACATACAAACATACATTTAAAGTACACACAGACTGGTGTAACATTCTTTCAGCTTACTGCCATCTAGCTGTAGGTCTCTTTTGGACTTTGTAACAAGCACATCGTTGTTCCTAGGGTTACGAACAAGACCTACTGAGGTTTCCCTAGTGAACACATAGGATCTACTATATCCTGATACAAAAAACCTTAACCACACACACAGACACAGACAGGCACACACACACACACACACCCAGAGCATACACAAAACCAGGACACACACCATCGTGGACACTTACATGTCAAACGTAGATTCAACCTGTATGATATCACTCTCAGTCAAGACCAGTCCCAGCTCATGAGACTGCAGCATCCTTATGAACTCATCCCGACTCAGGTAGCCAGTCTGGTCAATGTCAGCTTTTGCAAATATCTCGCGAATCACGTCTTCAATCAAGTTGCTCTCTCCGCCTTCGGTTGTATATCCTTCAGGTGTCTGAAAGCTGCAAAATCCAGAAACAAACATGCGGACTTAAAAAGAATGTTCATGTTGACTTATTCCTCTATCTAATGGGAAAATAGGTTAGTTAATGACTTAATGTGGACAAGCGCCAGTGTTGTATTCACCAACTTATTACTTCATCGGAGGCATAAGGTGTTGATTAATTACAGTCAACAGTACAGAGACATGTTTTTATAAGTGAAAGCGGCATACCTCTTTGAATTCTCATGACTGACGGTCTGGACAGTGAATACAGATGAGTCCACAAAGGACGAAACAGTTCTGTCCGCAGATTGGATATACATGTATAAGGTGCATGTATGCACTCTAGCAGCCAGACTTATGCTCACCTTGCTTCACCAGTGAATCGATTGAACCAGACCATGTCACCCTCACTGGTCATCAGCTCTATCCACTCATCCTGCAGCCACGCAGTGCAAGCAAAGAGATAATCAGAACCACTTCACATCTGCTATACAGTCATTGTCATTGAACACTTGGCTAGGATGCAGACTGACTACACGGTATTGTATAAAGTCAGTGAATACTGGGCTAGAATCATGACTGACTACAAACCTCCCTGATTCTCCAGAACAGTGTGTAGTGTGGATTCTCTATTGCCACGTCTATCACAATGTATCTACAGTCAACTTAGCTAATAACAACTGCGGATATAACCGCGACAATTCGCGAATAACGACAGAATTTCCATGCCCAGAGGAAAAGTCTCATCTAACTGTAATACATATAATGAAACTTCGGGTATAAGGTGGATACTTCGCGAATAAGGACACTTTTTTGATTTCCCGCCGAATGTCGTTCTACGCAAAGTTGACTGCACACAGGTGTCATCACCTGGTGAAGATGTTAGGATGAACACCTATCGCAGTATGCCTGCTCGCTGTGCTGTTGCTGCTGGTACTTTGGGTGACATTCTACGCTACAGGTGCCTTGTGTACATGTACTTTCTCACCAGACTATCCGGATCTTGCTGCTGATAAACACGCATGAGAATACGCTGGGCCAGAGGTATAAACTGGTGGAAGGTAAGCTGCGATTCCTGCAACAATACGAAGCAAGATAACATAAAGGCAAGATTCATTTTTAAAAGTCTTTCTCCTACGGTTTTTATGCAATTACGTCATCTTTTGAGATATTTTGCACGGAGCAGCAAAACCGTGGCAAGGTAGTATGCACCCACTAGTTTGCCACTCACAACTAGCACTATCGGCAAATTTGCCAATGATATCTAAATAGAACTAGAACCTTTCCCTTTGATACAAAACCACTCGATACAACCATGCGATGAGCTCATTCCATAATGCTACAGCAACTACTTGCAAGTCTGGAAAGAAGACCTTGTCATGAGAAGAACAAACGCTTACATCATTTAGACCAAGAGACTGCTTCACCACTGTCAAGTCTTCCTTTGAGAGATTCAGGCCGAGCTCAGGCGAACGGAATACCTGCAAGCAGACAGAAATATGTACCGCGTAGTATCATAACCGCACCGTCTTAACCATCCGCTCCCATCACAGTTCATAGTGTAATACTATGCAAGCAGGACACTAACACTGCACTGCATGTTGATCTTGGAGAAGGAGTGAATACAACTGCATGAGTACAATGCGACAAATAATCAAATAATCTCAACTTCGTAGGTGTAAATGCGTAGTGTCAAGTCGGACCCGGCAATCAAATCCAGGTTCATGCTACAAAACTACCGAAAATTGCTCCATTGTCTCATTTTATGGCTACAATGACATCTGTGGTGAATCTGAAAGGTTGTCATGAGGGAGTCAAGTAATCCTAAGCTGCTATTTCAGTGTCAGGGTGATAGTCATCATGGATGGTGATGCTGATGAATTCAGCTTCAGGGACTTAAATGGCATAGTTACTATGCCTTCAAACGTTCGCGCAGAGAACCTCACCCAAACACACACACACACACACACACACACACACACACACACACACACACACACACACACACACACACACATACACACACAGAACAAGATCTTGAAAGCTGCTCAATTACACAAACAAAAACTGCATAGCAAAGGCTTGTTACTGTATTCACAATATATAGGCAAGCTTCCTTTGATGTCACTTACCCTGAAGATCTCCTCCAAGCTCAGGACTTTGTCATCGTTGACGTCCGCACGTCGGAAAATGGGACCAACAACCCTCTCCAGTGGGTTAGAAACAATGGGACTCGTCATCTCTTCATCTTCCGGGACTGCTTGATTAATACCGGCCGGGGCACCACGTCGTCTGAGCTGCGGGATGTCCTGCAGAACATCCGGGGTTGATGCTTGTCGTTTGCGACCCTTCCCCGATCGTGATGGCGTCTTCCCGCTGCGTGTGGACACGCGACTCTCTGATCGCGACATAGAGCGGGATGAGTCTCGTCCGGATTTCTTCCTCGAAGACGTTGCTGGTGTGGCAGGAGTTGCGCTGCTTTCCGATTCCTGTTCTGCTGCCTCTGTGGTGGTCGTTGCTGCTGCTGCTGGCTCATCGTCTTTTTTCAGCTTCAAGTCCACTTCCTGAGTATCAACATCAGATAAAGCATTCAGGGTCATCAATAAATGCGCGGGACACTCTACCCACCTAATGTAATCTTTAACGGCAAAGCAAATCACTGTGGCGATACAATGGCTGTGAGTGGAGTTATGAAGGAAACAGATATCCTAAAAGACATTACTCATACATGAATCACGGCAAAATAGGTGACGGCGATGTGATGATACAGAATGCTCTGTATTCTTGGCACATAACAGAAGAAGAAAAACACTCGGGTTGGACTCTTCGGGTAACTGATCTCTTGTTGCATATACTTCCTCCGGAACTTAAATTCAGCTCACCGGGTGTGGCGATTGTAGAAAAATGTGTCAGGTTTACTGTATGGAGGAAGCAATGAACCAGGGTTCTAGCACGGGGGGGGGGGGGGGGGGGGTAGGGAGCACAGCACCCCCCCCCCCCTCCGATTGAGCGCCCCCTACTCATTTGTCGATTTTTGGGTCTTTTCATGCCATTCAACGACAATGCAGTCTCTAGTCACTACTAGAGGGTTCACAACTTCACAACGACACATCTGTGTGGGGTGAAGTCGGGGGTTCGCCCCAGAACGTTGCATGTGGCATGGCAAGACGCTTTAAGAAAACGGTACAATGGGTTACGGGGTAACTATTTCCCCTGCCCCCCCCCCCCCACTATGTTTACCTGAGTAGAACCCCGAATGAACTACTGATGCAATCCAGCACATTTGATTACCTTTTCAGGAGCGTCCTCATCCTGTGCAGTATCCGCTGCTGTTTGCTGCTCTTCACCAGCTTCTTTTTCTTCATCCTTGTTGTCCGCCTGTGGAGCATTGGCAGATGCATCGGCCGCTCCCTCTGCAGTCTCACTGTTTTCACCTGCAGCATCTGCCTCCGCGTCTTCGTGCACGGATTTCCTGCTGGCTTGTGTATGTACGGACTGTTTCTCCTCATTCTGTTGAAGACTCGCTTCCAGTTCCTGAACACAAGGGTGAGGAGAGAGACGTTGTTGCTTTGGTTAATTTTTGAATTACAATCGTTGTGAATTAGAAGTACCCACTTCGGAGAACACCCAGTTCCCAATACAATGTTTACGTGCAAACGCATCAAACAAGAAAAGACAATACGTAACTGAATTCCACCTAGAGAAGTGAAATCTGATTCTAAATTTCTAATTGTGAGAAGTGAACTTACTACTTCGTGTCCCACCAATAACTCTGCTGCAATTATCTTTGGAATATAGACACACCCAGTCCCTCACCCCTCTGAGACCGTTCAAACGATTTCATATCGTCATGGTTGAACGTGCCTAGCAGCCTGATGTTCAGCAACGAATTCACCCATGGCCGCAACGAGGGCTCTGAACCTTCAATAAATTAGCAATCAAAGTATAATACCCCATACAATGAGCACTGCTCGCATATTCTTGACGAAGTGTTAGAAGTGAACTCAACAATACCAGAATGACGGTGTGCGTTTACCGATCGCATGATTCTACTCAATACACTAAGCCACGAACCTGAATTCTTTTCTCTGCTTCTTCTCTCTCCACGCCTTCTTTCTCTTCAATGGTCAGCTTCAGTTTCTCCAGCTCGCCTCTCGGATCCACAGTAGGCTGTCCATTTGCCTGCTCGCCCTCATCTTGTGCCGCTGGGTTGTCGGCGGCGTTGTCAGCATCGACTGCTGTATCCGACATTGTCGGAGAACCTACGCTTCAATAGCACTCAGCCGGTCAGCGCTTCACTCTCCAAACGTCGATTGGGAAGGCCTAAGACCACAGTGATCAAGTCGTGGATAGCATAGAGCGAGATCCTTGACGGTGAACCATGCAAGCGAAATCAACAGCTCATTTTCAGAACACACAAATATTCGGAAGGCGAACACACTCAGCAACGTTCACCGTTTGACTGTTGCCAACAGTCGACGGTCGACATGATCCGTTATCGCACCCGTCACGCACTTGTCGACAGGAATTCTGAAACAGATGATCCTGGCCTGGAGCAGCAGCTAGCGGCAGGGTAACCGCCTCCCCGTCACCATGGCTACTGCTAGGGCTACTAACTCACTGAGTCTGTACTTGGCCTTGGGTAGACAGGTATATCTACATCATCATGACTAGCGACTGACAGACTTAGTACATGATTGTAAATCATGGCGCACAGAGAATACAAACGTCGGTAGACGGTAGATCAACACCAACAACGCCATTGCCGAGCCACCGTGCTCACAGCAGAGACTTCTGTGTGTTGTTATTGTTGTTGTTGGTGCTGTTCTTTCAAAGTGGACCACAAAGAGTCCACGGTACACTGTCAACTTTCGCAATCGGCACTGCAGCCACTTCACAACTACTTCGAAGTAGGAAAACCCAACATCATCATCATCGCAGGTGGTCTCTTTGCAAAGAGAAAAGGACCTATAAGGTAATAGTTGGGATTGACAGTCCACCAAGGTAACGAGATAATTATTATACAGTCAGATAGTGCGAAAACAAGGCACATAACTGACAAGGATATTGAGATATTCGACTACCTGACACCTAGCGTCAACATACATGTATCTACGAAGCGCAAACCTTCCAACTTGGAAGGCTCAGGTGCGGGAAGGTCCAATGAGGGGAAGGGATGTGCCACGAAGATGTGGACGAGCTACATGTATGTCCCTCGACAACAAAGAATGTCGAACGTTACAGGATGATGATGATGATGAGGATGATGACGAGACTGGTAAGACCATTGGACAAACCGGTCTAACTACAACTCGAAAACGTAACTAGTACCTTTTCTCTGGACATATTACTTTTGGTTCAACATCCGAGTTTTCAGGCCCTTTGGCAACATTTTGAGAGTTTTCACGAGTATACAATGTACTTTCAAGATTTTTCGTCTCGCACTACATGTACATGTCAAGTTTGCTAGGCTTTCTCACACTTGAACCTTTGTGTCATTAGTTCTATGTGTATGTGTATAGATCACGCATTTTTGTTCGTTTTAGCTACATGTACATGTACATGTATCTTCTTCTTTGTGCTGTTTTATCACCTCTCTACTGTACTTAATCCACTGTTTGTGTTCCTTTCCTTTGCCTTTATTTCACCTGACGAGCAGGCTTGAAAGTACAGGTATATCCTCAAAAACTATCAAGATGTCGACAGGACCGGTGGAAGCAGTTATTGATTGGTCCGGCCATACACAAGCCTTTCATACAGTTTGTGTATGATATGTAGAGGGTATACACATGACTTTCATACAGTTTGTGTATGATATGTAGCGGGGTAGTCACATGACTTTCATACAGTTTGTGTATGATATGTAGCGGGGTATACACATGACTTTCATACAGTTTGTGTATGATATGTAGCGGGGTAATCACATGACTTTCATACAGTTTGTGTATGATATGTAGCGCAGGGGCGTGCTCGGCCCCCCAACTAGGGGGGTGCACGGGAGCCGAGGGGAGCCCCCCCCCCGGCAATTTTCTGCAATTTGTTTGCAACCTTTCTTGAATTTTAGAGCATGTTTGCATACATTACAATTGCAATTACCCAGATTGAAAATTTTTGGGGGGTGCACGTGCCCCCCGTGCCCATCGCCGAGCACGCGCCTGTAGCGGGGTAGTCACATGACTTTCATACAGTTTGTGTATGATATGGAGGGTAGTCACATGACTTTCATACAGTTTGTGTATGATATGGAGGGTAGTCACATGACTTTCATACAGCTTGTGTATGATATGGAGGGTAGTCAAATGACTTTCATACAGTTTGTGTATGATATGGAGGGTAGTCACATGACCTCCTCAGTAGTAAACACACGTTGGTGGCCAAAAAAGTTGGTCCGGCCATGGCCTGACCACCCGGACCGGTTCCACCGAGCCTGGTTGGCAAAGAGCCTGACGTGTGTTTTTCTCCTTTAGTACTCTTCTAATAACAATGTGTTTCTGCACACACTGTCTGCACACATTGTGCTACAAGGCTGAAGTGCAATAATTGATGAAGTCACCGTATGGAGTGTGGATCTTTGAATTTGAGAACAAGAAGGGGCAGAACATGGTGTGGTGGGGAATGCGGGGGGGGGGGGGGGAGGCATGCTTACAGCTAGTGGCTGGCTTTATCGATTGTGTGTGCATTTGTGATTTGCCTGTTGCCCGTCATTGGAAGGCAGTGTATGTGTTGGCAGTACAAGGCGGGCATGGCATCCTAGGACAGGTTGAAAAGGCCGGAAGGTGTTAACACAAAGAAGGTAAGGACATCCATGTTCTCTTGACATCCATAGCTACAGTGCTACAAGTAATTCAACGACGGTTACGTCATCAACAACACAGCACCCTATCACGGCATTGACACCTTGCTCAAACTGAAGATGTGATCATTCGTAGTCGATGCTACTGACTGTGCCCCTTGTTAGTTAATATCCTCTCTCAGTCACCAGCCTCACATAATACCCAAGAGCCTCACGACCTTGCTCCTGGGCCTCAGGGCGCATTGGAGGTGGCTAGTGTCTCGCAGGTAACGTGGTACAATCTGCCCAGACGGACAGCATTGACTAGCGACCTGGTGACCTGGTCACAGGATGGTGGAAGTCGTCAGTGCAGAGTGCAGTGTTGAGTGCTGTCTCCAACACTACACTTCTACAGTACATACGCATCATTCTCCGCATACCTAGCATGCAGGGGGCGGAGAAAGTCAGCACCGTAGTCAGTGGTGTGGGGAAATTGCCACTGAATACCTGTGCTATGCTAGTCCAGAACCTTTATTGAACCAGTGCTATGCTGGTTAAACCCGGCGGTACGAGATGTGAAGATAGAGATTAACCTACTTCGAAGTACATTGTACAGGTATACTGATGTCAGTGATGGCACTTGTGGCGCCGCATGCAGGAACACTACTACTGTCACTAGACTGACCTGAGGCCTGCGTACATGCACACGTACGTGAAGAATGCTAAGGTGCACGCCGATAGTTCGTGCGTGGATCAGTGTTACCGCACCATTGCCCACCTTTGTCCACTACTGGCACTAGCAATGGTTATGCATGGGACTGTCAGTGTCCCAATAACAGACACACCTGTCACTGCTGGTCACTACCGTTACATTTGACATTGGGCACATTCCCTTTCTTGAAGTGTCAGCTGTGATGGCCGATGGGGAGTTCAACAGAAACGGACGGTATGGCAGTGATAGCCACTGTAATAGCTACATGTATGTACCCTTGCTGCGGAGGACAATGCTATGAAGCAGGTATTAGCAAGAAACCTTTGTGAGGGTCACCAGCAAACCACATTGTTTGATTGCCGGGTTAGTAGTCTGCCGCTATGGAGTAACTACAGCCAGTACAGGAACATTGTACGAACATAATAATTGTATTGATGTTTGAAGGTACAAAGTGTAGAATGTGGTATGCTGGCACGCGTGCAAGGTATCAACAAGAGACTGAGTACCCAACCACCAGGGGGTTATGTGCTCCTGGTTACCTGCTATCAATCATGCAGTGAGACTCTCGAAGGGTTTAGTATGCCAGAATTAGTTTAGGTCTACAGGAGTTCACGTCCTGTTTTCGCATGCATACAGGTATGGTGGGGGGGGGGGGAGGAGGAGGGAGCAGTCATCAGGTCATGACACTTTAACCACTTCTCTATCAGTGTAGACGTCCATATAGCCTATAGCCTTATAGGATTTTCTTCGCCGTGCTATCACTACACTGTACAGTGTACTTGTCTGTTTTCATGTAAGCTACTAGTACTCTTCCAGACACATTGTATACACAGGAGACTATTTTGAATGACCTCCAGGCGAGTCGTTTACAACCAGGCTGCCCATACACCTAATACCCCTTCTTGGCAATTCCGACGTCCAGAGAAGAGCTGGGGACAGACGATTGGCTTCGAAAGAGGTATCGCGTGAAAAGGCGAACAAGAAGATGGAAGGAGGGAAGGGGTCTGAGAGGAGAACGTTGCGTGATGCAGGAAGAAACTTTACTTACCACTGTGACACTGTGCATCACCTACGGCTGTATGCCATCATGGTTACCTCCCATGGGTATACTGCGACATAACCAGCCAAGCACCACACGCAGGAAGCACGTCCAGGGTGATGGTAGCTAAAACTGAGGCAGTCAGGATCTATTTCTGAACACCGTTTCCATTTTGTATGCGAGTTCAGGTGATACGCGGCCATTGCTGTGTGTGCAATCCTATTCCCAGCACTCGCGATACTAGACGTTTTGAGGGTACATGTATGTGACTATGCATGTATATATGTGTCAAGTGTTGTGTGACTTCCGTTGGCCGCAGAGGTGAGGAAACACCCCGCGTCAACATCCACACGCCAACAACGATGATCACATAGTAATCGTGTTACCCTGCCGCACCAACATCGCCACCATATCCTAGCATTCAACGGGTATCCACACGAAAACGCCGTACGAACCTCCTGGGGCTAACGTGTCTGCTGGATGACTTGAGCAGTGAAAGGGAATGAAATCTGCATGCATCACAAAGCACCACGCGAACGGAACAATACATTGCTGTGATGTGACCGAGTGTGAAGGAAGCTCTGCTCGACTGGCAAATGACTTACATGAAACGAAATAGCACACGAACAGTGACGACTCACACTGCAACACGTCCTCCTCACTGAACATCCTGTGTAACATTGTTACTTCAGTGCCTTGACCACTGAACCATGCCCAGGTAACTGGGCATGCAGTGGGGTAAATATAGACACAATCAGGCATGTACACCCGGGCCAGATGAGTGCCTGTAAGCCTGTATGTATAGAATATGGTCATGACAAGCGGGATACGTCGCCTTCATCTCTAGCTCTACATGATGTAGTTGCCTGTTTGTACGTACACTGCTCTTGCTGTTAATCTATTCTTCCAAGCGTGTATAGGTAGTGGTGA